GTATTCAAACTACACAAGTCATCGAAAGGATTCATTCTAAACTTCACACTTTCAGTTGCTAGGGTGCGTCAAGAGCCGTTCTTCTCTTAAGTGGGTGAGTCTTTTGTCAGGCAAGGTCTTTAAGGACTTTGTCAACTTACAGACACTCCTAACGCATCATCTATTAATATACTTTAGAAGAAAGATGCCACAGCATCTTGTCTTAAATATTAGATCTACTAAGTTCTTCTCTGGTTTCTAGCAACCAATTCATTTCAGTGTCTAGGTATTTTCACTTTATCGGTGTGTGATTCACAACCATTTATGCATTATCTCTAGACTCTTAACCTTGAACCTACTTTAACCACTTACAGAAAAAACTTGTGCCAATTCCCCTTACTTGTACACAGAATCACCGCCAGACCCTGTTCCAGTAGGATCACCTGCCTGTGCAGTAAAATCCTTCTGGACGGTATGAAAGAGGCAGCCATTATAGTACTTAATTCTGCAACAGAAAAGGAGTCATACCAATTCAGTTAGAACTTCTTAATACCTGTAAGCAAACTACTGAATGAAAATAACAACACACTCCAATCCATTAACTTCTGACTACCATGTTTACAACAGAAGGGCACAACTCCTTCTACATGACAAGCTGCCACATGCACATGATTCCCAAACAATCAAATGTAAATCTAAATTTTCAGGTCCAAGCCAGTTCAGATTCAGATATCCAAACTAAATCACTTAATAATAAAAGACGAGTGGGTATTATAAAATGATAACATTACTGATAGCAGTAAAGTCACGTTTACTATAGATTGGTTGTAAACTCATTGGTTGGTCCGGAATCATAAATAATACCACAAAAAACGACTCAGAAAAACTCCTAATTTTCGCCGTATAAATGATTTCAAACTGCAGATTTTCGACTTAATTCGCCTTTCTGGTTCCTTAATATCTACATTCTGTGTATTACCGACGCAATTAATACAACCTCCAAAGTATTAAAACCAAAAAAAAAATGCATAAGCTAGGGCTTTTTTTTTTTTTTTTGTGCTATCCAATTTGTACAGAAACAATAGAGCCAAAATCACCTACAATCATCTAAGCTATAGAATATTCGAAAACAATAGAAATCAAGAGCTTACTTGCATAACTTGAGAAAGTTCTTGCAAGTGAGAGGACACCGGTCGGTGAACAAATCCACAACTATATCTCCCAGGCTCGTTACAATCATTACAGACATTTTTGGACAATTTTCTTAAACCTCGAAAACGACTCAAATATATAATTCAGTTGAGCTGAAACTCGACATTAGTGCCGGAAATTTTATTCTACATAAAGGGGCAACCACGCCCAGACGATGGTTCCTCTTCCTCCTTTGGGGTTTAACTTTTAAGCTCCTTTTCCCGTTTCTCTTTCTTAACTGTGGGTCTGGGTTTAATACTTACCACTGTTCGTCGATTTGTCTCCCTCGTGTTTCTAATAGTAGTAATGCTTTCCTTCCTGCTGGGACAATTTGTAGAAACTTGAATTTAATCCCTAAAGTATTTTCCAAAATTTCGAGATAGTCCTCCGAGTATTATTTTGTACTTTTTGGTCCTTCAAGTTTGCTTTTTTAGTCAAGCGGAACTTTTTGATCCTAGATCAGTGTAACATAGGTACAGATATAACATCAATACATGCAGGATTCAAGGATTATGCAATCACTACGTTACAACTGCACATTATAATATACATACTAGCAGAGTTAGATATTAATGCAATAAAATAGACGAATAACAACAAAAATGCAAAATTACAATAATTTTTTTGACACTTTAAAATTTGTATCCAAAATTTAATCCCTTCCCTGCATTTTCAAAATACACCATCTATCACCATTAATTGCACTCTATAATTACTAGTGCGATTGCAAAGAAACAGAATCCGATCATACATTACGCTCATTAGTATTTAAAAAATAAAGAATCTTGATGCTTTTTTTTTTCTTGCCCAAAAAATGTGCAGTTTTGCTTTAGAATTCAAACTTCTTTATTTGATAATACACTCTAGTTGCCCCCGCGGGTAGCTCGAGCGGTCCGTTCCCCCTCCTTAGGATATGGCGACCTTCTTGGCTTGTCCAGGGTTCGAGTCCCGCTGTTAACGTGTTCGGTGTGGAGTGAGGCCTCCTCTCCCAGGCCGCAGGGAATTAATCGGGCCCCGTAAGGATTGATCCGAACACCCCTGTGTCGACAAAAAAAAAATATATATATATATACACTCTAGTTAAACTTATACAATATCATAAATTTAGGTCATTAATTTTATTATTTAAAAAAAAGTTAAACTGATGTATGTTGCAATTAGTGCTCAATATTATGCCATGAGTTATTTTAAATTATGTTCTCTTGAGTATGTTGTGTAGAGTAGGCATTTTGTCTTGTATATGTCTTCCAAGCCCAAGTTACACCTTTGTCCTTGATAAAACAAGATATTGCCAAGCAAGTTTCTCACGAAAAAATAAAATAAAGAATGTATCAAGTAAATCCTTGTTACATTGAATTTAATCTAGGATAAAATATGCATCTGAACTTATAAACTATGAACATCATTGCCTCGCAAGTCATAAAAACCAAAACCATTTTAATGCATAAATCCAATGCTTTAAGCTAGTTCTCGCAAGTCGTGAAAACACAATCAATGTTTAGCTTATAAATGTAGTTACATATATTAGACATAGTCGCACACTTTCGCATCAAACCGCCGATACTTTTTATTTTTAGACAAAATAAAACCACTAATACTTGGTACAAACAACTTTGAAGCGTTTAAATGCTGTGTTGCTATGTGGGGAAATATTTGTAATACAAATTTAGGAAAATTTGGAGAATGGGAACAAAAGATTTCAAATTTTGTAAATATGATGTAAATTTCCACAAATGTGTGAATTAGGGATGCGTCATTGTTCACAAATTAAAATAACTAAACTTATGAATTAATCCTGATAGTGTACACACCATAGGTGTTAAATAAATGACAATTATGTAAAAATTGAATTTGAAATCTAACTTTTTACACTTGTCATGAATCCATTAATGATGATGTGTGTGTATACATACATATATACTGTCACTGTATATAAAGTTTATTCTAAACTTTTTGCTAAATGCTAATTCACCCTCATAATAGTATGTACTTTGTCGAGCAAAAACATTCACCTTGACAAATAACTATGTATACTTTTGTTTACATAAGCGTACATTTGTATGTGTACATTGTAATTTATGTGTACATATGTGTACTTGAATATGCACATATGACTGCGAATGTATGCTAATAATTTTTTTTTTTCATTCAAAAACATTTTTTTTACGCTTATGATCATATCCTTAGCCCATTCCTAGCAACAAAATTTCTCAAATTTAATACCCTTCTTATAAATGTTGAATCTTCTGATTTCATTTTCCCCACAAGTTTTGACAGTCCAATCTGAAAAATTATTCCAACACTATTTTAATTCAAGTATTGAATTGTTATTTTCCCCACCATTAATTGTACCATCAAATGTTTACATTTCATAGAATAATCTATATATACATGTATGCGTGTATTTGGGTAGAATTGGAAAATTGTTCAAATATCCATCATAATTTATTAAATGAATTTTTTTATCATTCACTTTTAAAATAGCAATTTTACGTCCCTTATAAAATCAAGTCGACAAATTTTGGTCCTAACCTATGTTTTTGACTATTTTTTTGCTTTGAATCAATTACATAACCTTCACATGATCATTTTTTTTAGGAGCAAAAATGTTAAATTTCATTTTAATTAAAACAAATGACTTGACCTATATCCATTTTTTTGCACCTACAAATTTGAGATATGACCAGAATCATATTTATTTTTTCATCTGAAAAGTGGAATCTACCCCAATACATATTCATTTTTACTCTTAAAAAGTCATATTTGATTTTTGTATATAAAAAATGATCACATACGGGTTACATGATGATTTTTAGGTTAAAAAGTAATAAAAAATGTAGGTTATGACCAAATTTTAATAACTTGAATTTATAAATAACGTAAAGTTAATATTTTAAAATTTTAAAAAATAAAAAATAATAAAAAATAATAAATTTTATTTGATAAAATATAATAAACGTTTTGAAGGATTTTCCACTTAGAATCTTCGCCAAATCGTAGGCTGGCATTTTCTCCTGCATACTCCATTTTAAAAAAACTGTAGCAACGTAGTAGTAGCGGACCCGTATGATGACATGTTTCCAATATCGGGTCCCAATTTTAGATGGTTGCCTGATTGATTATAAATCTATATCTATATGTATTCAGGAAGGGATTTTTAGCAGAAACCCTCTCAATGCCTTCTAAACTTGTCATACTTTTTTCTAGATTTTTGTATTTATTTTAATACATAAAAAAATAGTGGGTTATAACCCACATTATCACCAATCAATATTCCCACTATCTCACTCCCAGTATCCCACTATCTTAACTCATCCTACAATCACTCCTACAAATTCTCTCCCGTTTCCCACTCCAATTAAGAGTCCACTCCAACTATCTCTTAATGACCCATTTTTTTTTAATTCAAAATTGCGTCTTCACATAACACAGGAAAATACCTGAAAGCTATCCCATCCTGGTACCAGAACTCCGGTGCTCTTCTTAGTACGCATCATACTTCTTTTCTTGAACCTTCGGCAGACGTCACGAAGCCGGCGGTGATTACCTTTCAATAAGTGACCCTGCTCATTTAGCTATTGATTAGTATTATTGTGTTTTTTCACCTTTGCCCCACTTATCTGCTGTCCCAAATTCAAGTTGTCCTATTATTTAATATATTAAAATTTTTCACTCAAAATTTGTAGGGAACTCATCTAAAGTTTCCTCACCATGGAATATGCCCGCCTACAAGCATTTCAACAACAACTAGATTTCAAACTCGCAAGATTGCAAAGAAGGAAATATTTGCTTAGAAAACGAAACATATACCGCAACGATTTCACACACCAGTTGGAAAAGTTTCAACAAGTTTGCGCTGACGAAAGAAAAATCTCAAATCAAATCCGAAGAACAAAATCCAGGCTACACTGATTAAAACGTCGTTCGCATCAAATTAAAAATTCCGGTACGTGTTTTCTTTAATAATTATTCCCCATATTGTAATTCTTTTTATTTTCGATTATTTCCAATAATATAATATGTTTATAATTTTTTTCCAACCCTTTTACTGATCGACTTAATTAACTTATCGAGTTAATTCCCTCACCCTCTCTCTCAGTTTCTTATTTGTTTTGGGTTCTCTATTGATTTTGTAAATGTATTGATTTTGTTTCTTTTGTGAGCAGTAGTGGAAGATATTATGTGCAGAGACTCCAGCAGAAATCAACCTTCTTGCGGCCGGCTTAATTTTCCAGGTCGGTCCCCTCTGCCTTTTAAGTATGTTGTGCTTTTGCTTTGCTTTTTGTCATGAATGATATTGCATTGATTTTCTGATCATCCATTATTTCTGAAAATTTTTTACAAAATCCTATGAACTGTTGTTTGCTTATTGTTACAATGTAAAGCAAAGATAAAAAGGTATTGCTTGCTTATATAATTGCGGATGGTATAGATTTATGATTGAGGGTTCTACTATTTCTAACATAAATTGTATATTATAAAAATTTATTTGTTTGTATTACTGAAATTTTTTTAATTATTTTTTATTGCACATTTATCACATAAAATAGGTGTTACGATAGTTATTTTCATAATTTTATTCCAAAAATGATCGTGCATGAAATAAAAAAAGATTTTTTGATAATTAAAAATGGTTTATAATTGGAGAAAAACAATTCAGATACTACTAATAACTAAGGCACTATACGCCATTATTAAAATTGGATTAATTTTTAATTTCGTCAGAAATCTTTTTGGCAAAGTTGCATTATAGCCTTTCTTTTCTTTATCAACAATGACAATTACAACTACATGATTCATCTATCTAGCAATAGCACAATTCAACTCATAGAATAAATAGTTCATTGCTTAAAGTACTTAAACGAAAGGTTAGAGCCAAGTCCTACTTAACACCTGCAAGTAATATATTACAATTAGAAAAAAGAAAATGATTCAAGAGGAGCAAAAAACTCACCAAGCCCCTGACATATGTGCAATCGTCAAGGCACTTTTGAGCATTTAAAACTGCATTCCTTAGTTCAGGTAACCACTTCTCTGTAATTGTTTTCATTTGATTACAATGCAATTCTATTAAATTCTATTGATGTTATTTCTATATTAATTATTGTATTTTTTTGGTTAACAGTTTTCATACAATGTATCATTATTTACACATAAAATAAATACATAAACTACTGATTTTTAATTTAATATATATTTTATTTCTAGATCAAAGAAATGAAAAATCTAACTGTCCTCAAGATCGCCAGGCATCCACATCACCAATGATTTTGCGTGATCATGGTAAATATACAACTTCTTATATCGTCATACTCATCTTACATACACACTTTTTGGCTGCACTATCTTGCTAAATCAACTATAGATACAATACAATACAATTGTATTACAATTGTTCGATTACAATACAATTGTATTACATTCGATTGATGCTATTTATAGACAACTTAGCAATTTTATAGATTAGCAATTTATTTTATTTTATAGATTACCAATTACTACATGTACCAAAATATATTTATATAGGGATTACTTCATTAACTATGGGTGTTAATAACAATTCAATTGGTGCGTATTTTTCATTTGATTACAACACAATTGTATTAAATTCTATTGATGCTATTCTATATTAACTATTGTATTTTTTGTTAACAATTTTCATACAATGATAAAAAAAATTCTCATACAACCGAAAAAGACGGTTCTTAAATGATATATTCATTCTATTATATTTCAAATTATTGTTAAACAGATATTATATTTTAATTTTATTGGTAAACTTTTGTTACCTTTATTTGTTCACCATTTTATTTTTTTTCCAATAATGTCAGCACCGTGCATAGCACGGGTATTCCCACTAGTTTCTTATGTAATCAAGAATTCTTTCGGTCCACCTTTTACTACCCCATAAAGGCAGGCCCAACAAAACTCAAAAATAACAATTTTATTTCATTAATCTCTTCCCCTTATTCTGATCATTACTTTTTTTATTTTAAATCCTATTCTATCGCAATAAAGGATCCTAGAGAAGGGGATGGTCAGAAAGGAGGATGCGTTGTACTGCTGTTCCTGTGACGTGCTTGCCTGCTCCACTACTACTACTTTGGCGAAAATGATATTTGGATAGCAAATTATTTCAAATAATATTTTATTTGTATCATAAATATATTTTTTAATTATATTTTTAACTCATATATATCACATTATAAAAAATATTACAGTCATTATTTTAAATAATATTTTATAAAAACACACTCAATTGAAACTTGACCAACACCCTAGAAATGAAATTAATTTTCCCTGGTAGCCATTAGATCAAGACCTAATGGTTCTGATCATTATTTAGGGAACTAAGCAACCTACTCGACTTGCATATAATACAATAATCAATACTTGAATTAAAATAGTGTTGAATAAAACTTCACCACAACTTTATTAAATTAAATTATTTTACTTTTTAAATATTATAGTTCATTTATATGTAGACCTTTAATTATTAGATGAGGTTAAGTTGGGTATAAAATAGGATTAATTTTTCTTACTTTTATAATTGAAAAATAAATCAAATTACTCAATACTCGAATCGAATTCTTTTTTGTCAGAGTTCATTTAAATTTAATTTACTAATTAATAAATTCACGTTTGAGCAGTGTTTTATGTTCGATAACTTTCAAATTCAATAAAAAAAAAAGCTCATTCAAACTCGATTATGTAAAAGAAATAAGGAAAGAACATTCAAAATGTTATTTATATTTTGTAAAATGATTTTTTTAATACCTTACTTTTAAAAGTGTAATTTTACATCATTTACAAATTCACATTGGTCAATTTTAGTCCATATTTAGGTTTTTGATTAGTTTTTGTCAAAATTTACCGCGTGCATTGCCCGTGATCGTTTTTTAGAGACAAAATTGTCAGATTAAATTTCACATAATCCGATTTATTATCCCTCACATTTTATAAAATGAACTTTTTAATCTCTCATATTTTACGCAATGAATTTTTCATCCCTTAAATTTCACATAATGAATTTTTCATCTCTCACATTTTCACAAAATAAAAAATTTCATCCCTTATTGATCATGTGTACAAATAAATTTTTATTATTTTTGAAAATCTATGTATATGTCTATTTGATTTCATCTGAACAGTATAAATAGCATGTAACATGATGCGAGACGCGGAAGCTACTTCGGATCTAGAGGAACACGATGAAGATTTGACGGAGTTGAACCCGAACTTGGACCACTCAAGAACAGATTTAACGGTAGAGGACGCCACAATCAAGTATGTGTGCTTGATTGATAAGTCAAGAACAGCCTAGGATCAACTCTAGGATGTTCAACTTAGCTTTTACAAGCTAAGGGAATTTGTCACAAGGAATGGACGAAATTCTGGAAATTTTATTCAATACTCTCAAAAATTGAATGTAACATGCGGCTTGAGGCTATTAATAGCCGTGACTAAGACCTAATAAACTGGAAAAATAACAAGGAAAGTTCGGCCAGCCCCTTGGGCCTTCACTTGACCGAAAGCTAGCCCAACTAACTATAGATCATAAGCTTCGGGGGCGTTGCCCCCGAAGCCCCCACCGGGGGCTTCGCTGCGCCCCCGGGCCCCCAAGCCAGGGGCGCGTCGCCCCCTTGGACCCCCGACTCGCTGATCGGACAGCGAGACCCCCGTACGGCTCAGCGAGGGTACTTAACTGCGGCTCAGCCCGCCGTTTGGAGCTTGAACATTTGCATCTTCAATTGTAAGCAGCATTTTAGTAGTTGTGCAAGGATATTCCAACTCAATTCCTTCAATGACCGGTTTCTCTTGGGTTTGGACGGCACGTACCAAGGCTTGAAGGGACTCCTTGAATCTCTTGGCTCGTGCTCGTGTCACTGGGCCTTGGGGCACCTTCACAGGGTCTACTTGTACACTTTGGGCCTCGTGCTCAACCGCATCATAACACATCTCTATTTGATTTCACATAAACAACTTAAATTGTAGTTGTAGGTGAAATCAAATACAGATGTGTTACATGTTATTCGTACTAATAAGGTGAAATCAAATAGATATATACATGAATTTTAAAAAATTATTCATACATATGATTAACGAGGGATGACAAAATTCACTATATGAAATGTGAGGGGTTAAAAAATTTATTTTGTGAAACGCGAAGGACAAAAAAATTTATTTTGTGCATTATGAAGGACGAAAAAATTCACTTTGTGAAATGTAAGAGACTATGTATCGGATTATGTGAAATTTAATTTGACAAATTTTCCCTTAAAAAATGATGATGTACAAAATACGCAGTAAATTCTAATAAAAAACTAATCAAAAACATAAGTAAGGACCAAAATTGATCAATATGAATTTGTAAGGGACGTAAAATCATACTTTTAAAAGTAAAGGATGAAAAAGTCATTTTATAAAATGCGAGAAACGTTCTGAACGATTTTTCCAAAAATTAAGTCAAACTTAAATAAAATTTCAAACTCGCTAAAATAATCAAACAAACTATATTTTACGCTTGATTAGATTCGTTTACATCTCTACCTATATTATGAGTATATACAGTAACAGCTTAAATATATGACATATTATTTTAATTTGGGTTGAATTTAAACTTTACATAGAGACATGTATATCTAGACCCGTTATATATACATACAGTATCAATACATAAAAGATTTCTATTATATACATTTTTTTAGTGCATAAGAGATTTATCCTATAAAATAAAGAAAACAAAACTGTTCAATGTTAATAAAAGTAATCGAAGAATCGAGTATCGGCAGTTTGATTTTGGCATGGAGCGACTTTGCTCTGACCTCTATAATTGATCATTGGTTTTTCTCTGGGCTAATAAACTTTCGTTCGTTTCTTCTCAAAAAATAAAAAAAAATTTGTTTGTTTTTCCCACATAAATTTCGACCCATTTATCTGAATCACGTCCCTCTCAAAATTTTCTATATCTAAACTCGAAAAACTAAACGGAGAATAGAGAGAGTTGAGAGAACTAAGGAGTAGCATTTAATCGTTATCCTACAGGCCTAGGCAGGTCAGCTGTTCAGCCTCCGTTTGCTCATCTCATAAAAAGAAGAAAATACTCATTAGGATTTTATTTTATTTTTCCCTCTGCCAATGATTTTTCGAACCAATTTAATTGTACAGATCTTTTTCTCTTCAGGAGAACCCTGACGAATTTATCGGTAAAGGGCTTCACCAGCTTTCCATTTCGTCCATAGATTTAGCTTTGACCCCTTTATTCAATTTGAATTTGTGGTATTTAGGGTTTATATTTTTCTGGGCTCACCTTTTCATTTCCAAACCACGCTTTTTTGTCTGGCATAAAACTTCTGGGTTTCGTCTACGGTTGTTGGGTGTTGTTTATTTTGACCGGGGAAGTAATATCTGGGCTTTTGTTAGTTGGTTTATTAGCTTTGAAAGGGGAAGATTATCCTGGTCTTTTTAGGTTCATTCCCGAAGGAAGGATTTCTGGTTTCCTTTACTGTTGAGTGAAAGGATTTGTTATGGATAGATTTGAAGGTGGGGATGGTATTAAAGAGTCCTCCAATTCTCAGGATCTTGGACAATTTGGTGAAAATCCAACAGGTTGGTTATTAATTCTTTGCTCATTCTTGATGCTGAGCTTCAAATTCCACTGTATGTAGATCTAATTTTCGATCAATACTGATGTTTTCAGTTTAGTTTTTCTCCTGTTGACTTTATTTTACTCTGCTTGATGGCAAAAGAATAATAACAATGTGGGTTGCAGAGATTTTACTGCTTATGCATGTCTTATTTTTTCAAGGATGAAAAAACATTAAGATGAACAAGTTGAAGACCTCAGTCTTTCCTAATATTGCAGAAGTTAGTTTTATACTTTGAGATGTACGGATTCTAAGTGTCTAATCATTTGTTGCCGGTTGACTTATTGCTTGCGAAATTCTGATTAACGAATTCAAGAGTGGATGATACCATTCACAAAGCAGCTTTTTGTTTTTCATCTTTGAGCTGTTAGTTTTTTTGGTATCCTGCGACCCACCTGTCCTTTGCTTGGTATTTTCACGTTTTAAACAGGCTATCTCCTGTTTTGGTTTCTCATTTTGCTTTTGTGAACCTTGTATGTGAAAGCTTATGATATTTGCTATGTTCTGTTTAATTGTCTTCTTTTGTTCGATGTGAGGTTGTTTTCTTTATTTACATGTCATTGCTTTCGCACTACTACAATTGGGTGGAATTTACTGAAGCA